ATGTGATCTTTATGATAATGATTCAGTATTTATATATTTTATAACACACCTATTTACGTGGATGCAAAAAAAATTAAAATTTTAAAACTGTAACTTCTTTTACTGAATTATAATAACCATTTGACACAAAAATTGTCAGAAAACAATTGTTAGTACGTGAGGTGAATCAATTTTTTAAATACTAATATTTTTGTTAGTAATACACCGATTTTGTCGATCTATGCATAAAGTCTATACTATTAAATTTATTATAATACCTGATATAGAACTGATTAATTAGTATATGACGGACCCAATGTTACGCGAAAAAGGCATATTCACGTTATTTTCGTAACAATAGCCAATATAAAATATTGTGAAACATTGTAATCTAACTCGGAAAAAAGGGCGGTGACGTTTTATAGGCTAGAACCTTAATTTAGTACAAGCATTAGACTTGTTCGTAAACCTATGCTACTGTGAGGCCGCTTAAAGTTGAATAGCTGTTAGCTTTATCGCACAGCTAGCCGTTCGATTAAAATCTACCAATATGATTTATCAAATGCTCCTGATGGGTGCTGCCAAATGAAAATCGGGAATTCTAAAAATAGAACCTATGAAAAATCATATTAAGACTTTACTCGGATTATTTTTTTAAAAAATATGCATTTCCCGTAACAAAAATCTATACAAAATCTTTAAAATTTTCTCAATATTTTCGAAACTTTGTCCTTATAACCAGGAAATTAACAATGTTTCAAAAACATTCAGAAAATTTGAAAATATTCAGAAAATTTTAAAACGGAAAATGCTCATCTCTTAAAAAAATAACCCGAGCAAATTATGAATATGATTTTAAATTTTTTTTTTTATGGGGAAATCCTTTTTACAACGGAATATGGGTTTTAAATGATGATATTACATGATCAAAAAACATTGCAATTAATTATTCTAGTCAGATCGATTAAAAGTTCGCATTCGTTATGTGAAGAATTCTATTTTGAATTCCCTGGCTTGGGGCGCACCGATTTTGTCATGGCAGATTCTCGATGTTGATCAGCCAGTATTTCTCATAATTTTGGTTGGAAATAGGTATAATTTTTAATTCAAAAATAGAATATTTAGGGACATAGGCCTGCTTGATGGCAGAATTAACCTGGAAGTATTTTTACTTAGCGGCCGGAATTTAAATATTAGTTAATAATTATATAACCATCAAAATATTAATTTTTTTTGCATCCACGTAAATAGGTGTGTTATAAAATATATAAATACTGAATCATTATCATAAAGATCACAT